TGGGAATCTTGACACGCTCTGGCTCCCAAGACCACCCATCTGCTATTGGTGATTCCCAGGTACTAGCTACTGGCTCGCTCTCTCTCTCTCTCTCTCTCTCTTCATATATATATAATTTATTTTTATTTTTTTAGAGGGAGAGAGAGAGAAACATTGATGAGAAACATCATCGACCAGTTGCCTCCTGCACACCCCCTACTGGGGATCGAGCCCACTACTGGGGCACGTGCCCTGACCTGGAATCGAACCAGTGATCTCCTGGTTCATAGGTCGGCACTCAATCACTGAGCCACACCAGCCGGGCTGGCTACCTGCTCTTCCAACTCCACTAGTGCTCCTGGGGCCTGATCCTGTGAACTAACTCCCTTGCTCCTTGTCTGTCCTCACTCACCTCCGCTATTTCGAACCCTGCACTCACTTGCACACTCATTCCTGGCCCCTTATGCCCGCCCAGCTAGCTGGTTGCCTGGAGCGGAGCTGACCTTCTCAAAGAGGCCCAGGGACTTGAAAGCCTCCCTTAAACTTTTGTTTCTATGGACAGATCCTAACTTTCATGATGCAGATCCTAACTTTCTCTTAACCTGTCTTTTTTTTTTTTTTTAAATCCATCTTTGCCATTCTAGATGAAATTCCAATTATTGGCACTTTCTAGTAAAAATTGACCCATCAAAGCAAGACTGTTATTTGCAGATACTCCCATTTAAAAAATATGATATTTTATAGATTTACATACAGTGAAACAAGAGAAGAAAAGGGGGGGGGGGACTCAAATTACCTGTATCTTTTTTTTCTCTCAGCTAAAAAATGATGTTTCATGTTAATATCTCCCAGTAGGGTCCATTTTCTGGACTTGAAATGTTTTCTGGCTTTTCTGCTTATACAAGGCAGCACCCCTGACTGTGTGCCTACCATCCCTGAGGAAGTCAGAATAGAGAGATACCAATACCAGGTCTCCAGGTTCTTTCCCCCTGGATCCACACGCTCCCTGTTTCTCCGAAGCTGGCTTTTAGGGACCTGCATCAAATCACTCATGCTCTTGGGGCTCAGCAGCAGCTCTCACGGTGACCTCCTGCACGCTTTCTGTCTTATTCATGCCCTGCTCGTCAGTCCCATCTTGATCTGTCCATTACCCAGTTTTTCTTCATGGGCTCGTTTCCAAGTTATTCCTGGTCAGTGTCCCAAATTGCCAAAGTCTTCTTGGATTCTAAGCCTGTCTTTGGAGGCATAAGCTTCATTTGCCAATTCTGGTCTTCTGCCAATGTATAGCACTTGCTCTTTATTTATGCATCCCAGTTACTAATGGAAACATGGAGGGTGTTTATCTGCCTTTTGGACCTCCTGGGCCCCGAAGGGGGGGAAAAAAACTCTGGGTTCTTCCCCTAAAGCTTTTAGTGCCTAGTTCTCCTTTTCCTACTAAATTGTTTCCGTATGGAACAACCAGTTGGGAGATGATTTCACCTCTTGTCATCTTTCCTATGTCTTCCTTGAAGTGGGTAAATTCCTCCTGGCTGTTACTGGTTCCCCGCCACTGTCTCCCGCCCCCCCCCCTTTATAGATCGCTAAATCACATCAAATTGTTTTATTTTTCGTATCACCAAAGTGGCCTTGCAGCCTCGGATCATCAGCCAGCTCTTCCCAGTTAATGAGGATCCACTTATGAGAGGCAGCCGCTCCACCTCCTCCATCTCCTGCCGTTAGGATGACTTCTCGCTGGTGAATGTCAGCTGTTGTGGTTGTCTCCTAGGAATGGCATGTGTTAAGGACTTTGTGGTTTGTATCTGAGCAGTGAGGGGCGCCCTTTCGGGGGAAGGAAAGAGAGGGGCATTTTTTTATTTTATTTTATTTTTTGCTTCTGCAAAGGAAAGCCTGGAGCCTGATCCCCTGAGTGAGGCTTGTCATTGGGCTGGGTTCACAGGGAAGCAGGAATGGCAAGAATTTATGAGGCTGCTGCTCCCAGAGCGTGGTTACCCCTCTCGGAGGGGGGATTTCACAGTAGCAGATATTTTGGGACCATTTGTTAGTGTCTCATTTATACCATCTGTATGAAAATAAACAGAAGCTGCAGGCAGAGCCTATCATTCCCGGAACAGAGTGGGGTCTGGCTTCCATCTCTCAGAGATGGCTCAGGCAGGGAAGCACACAGGAGCCTTGGGGGTGTTTTTCTTGGGGTCCACTGTGGGAACGAATCATCGGGAGGTTGGTGATGAGCATCCAGACTTCCAGAGATAGGTCCTGACCCCGCTCACTGAATTTTGTTCCACCGTGAGTTTGTCATTTGTTCCTTCCTTCATTCACTTATTTACAATTCACTAAGTCTTTGTCGATTATTCTTTTTATGCCAGAAATGATGCTACGCGCCGGGGTCATGTGGGTCAACCAGCCATGACTGCTGCTTTCCCCCCCGAAGTCACCCCTCCACTTGCTCAGTGCCCACGTGGCACGTTCTGCCACGCAGGAATGGGTCCTTCCAGTTCAGGGAGGTCCGGGGCTTCTGGCCACGGAGGGGATTTTGCTCTGTGTTTTTGCTGGAGTGTGGCACCCCCGGCCCCTCTCAGGGGTTTGTATTCAACTGAAGCACCAGGCACAGAGCATTTTGCAGCCTCACATCTCCTGTCTGTGTTGACTAGCTCGATGAAGCATCTTTTGGGGGTCAGGGACTCCTTGGGGCATCCGTTCAGGTCTAGAAAAGGGGGTTTTGTAGGGTTTTCTCCTCTTCGGAGAAGGAAAGGTGAGTTTCCTCTGTCAGTTTGGCTCAGGTAGCCTAAAACCAGCTCCTTCTGCCCGCCAGGCATCCCCCTGCCTCACAGGATGAGTCCTTACACTGGCCCTTTTCTTGTTTCCCTGGAGGAAGGCTGGGGAGCCGTGCAGCTCACCCACCATGCCCTGGAGCAGCCTCCTGCTGTGGCACCCTGTGGGCCTCTGCATTGCAGGCCCGGCTCCAGGGAGTGGAGGGGAGACTGTCTTCCTGATCCTGGACTCAAGTCCAGCTCAGGTTTAGGGAGGGTCACAGCACGTTGACCAATCGCATGTGAGGCATCTCGGGGGCCATTTCTATGTCTGGGCTCCCACCCAAACTGCCATGGGGTTATTCAGGGAACTTCCCAGACCTGGATCTTAATGGGAGGCAGAGTAGAGGGCCCTCTGTGCAGGAGAATGACCCTCCACTATGGGCTAGTGTCTGAACATCTATTAGAAGGTCATCTCTTCTGCATTAACTCTGGGAACCCAGGAGGGGGGAAAGGGCAGGATCTGAAATCCAGGGCCCAGGAGTTCAGCTCTGGCTCTTTCCCGTTCTAGCCGTGTGACCTTGGCAAGTCATTCACCCTCTCTGAGCTTCACCTTCCTCATGCGCAAAATGAGGATGTGGTTTAGATAAGCACAGGGCCTCCTCCAGCTCTGAGACTATAAGTTAATGAGAATGAGTCTCGGATCCTTTTCTGGGGTGGCCGGGGGGACACTGGGTGCTCCGGATGGGGAGAAAGGATGTGCCTTCTTGCTCATAGTTGGATGGATAGATGGTTAAGTGGACGAATGAATGAATGGTAGGAGCCCTGAAAAGGACCAGATAAGTCTGGCTTTATTGGATGACAAGCTTTCTGCACCGTCTGCTGTGCCTTGAAGTAACCACTTCTCACCCACAAGCTTCTCCCAGAAAAGAGAGGGAAGAAATAATTCTCTCGCTGTTGACCTGTCTAACTTCTTTCTTTCATGCCTGAATCTGTCTTCCCTTGCAAACCTTTTGGGTCTGGCACAGCCGGAATACGTGTTTGCTTTGAGAAACAGGAGGCCCTGGAGGACTTTGCTGGTACTGGGCTCCGCTGGGGAAAGCAGAGGCTAATTAATTGCATCTCCTTTGCCTCAATCTCCTTCCTCATAGAGACCAGAGGCACACACTCACCTTTAACTTCGATTTGCTTCATTTCATATTCAGGGTGTCTTAACAAGTATGCAGAACGGGATGTGTGATTTGAGGGGAGGCACCGTGCCAGGCCCAAAATAGCTCCCTCTTAAACAGGTGCGAAGATGCTTGAGATTCCACTGTTTTAAACCACCCTCTTGGGAGGCAGTAGGTTGTGGTTTAAATCCCAGCTCTCACAGTTTCAACTGTGCACAGTCTTGAGTGAGTTATCTTCCTAAGCCCCGGCTTCTTCCTCTGTGTCATGGGCACTGCCCCAGTCCTATGGGGCTGATAGGCGGACTATGCAGTGCCAAGCACATGGCGAATGCTGAATCAATGAGCCGATGGTTGGAGTAAGCGTTACCTTAAGTGCCAAGGGAACCTTGATATGAATTAATGGATTAAGATTCCCTCTGTAACAAAATAAGGGCAGAGAGAGACACTGGGATGGGAAGGGGTGAGGGGGCCATTATTGGAAGACAGGATGAGTTCCTGGCAAGACATGGGGGCTTAAGCCCCTCATAGCACTTCTTCTGGCTGACAGCACGCGTCCTCTTCTCCCGCCTACTCCAGGCTGGACTGCCACTCCTCCTGCTATGATGCCTGGGCAGATCCCGGACCCTTCCGTGACTGCGGGCTCTCTGCCAGGGCTTGGCCCCCTGACCGGACTCCCCAGCTCGGCCCTGACTGCAGAGGAGCTGAAATACGCTGACATCCGCAACATCGGGGGGGCTTGGCCTGACCGGACTCCCCAGCTCGGCCCTGACTGCAGAGGAGCTGAAATACGCTGACATCCGCAACATCGGGGCCATGATCGCCCCCTTGCACTTCCTGGAGGTGAAACTGGGCAAGAGGCCTCAACCTGTGAAAAGTGAGGTGAGTAAGCCTGGTTCTCCCGGGCAGAATCCAGGAGTAGGACGCCTGGGTTCGAGTCCCAGGACTAGCCCCACACCCGCTGTGTGACCTCAGCGTTGCTGTTCGTCGTGGGGTCTGAGGACCAGTAGCATCCGTGCAACCCGGTGGCTTGTGAAAGATGCAGAACCTCAGGCTCCACCCCAGACCTTCTGAAATAGAGTCTGCATTTTAGTACGTTCCCCTGGGGAACTCATGGACATGGTAAAGTTTGAGAGGTCTGGCAAGGACAGGATGCTGAACCTCTCTGATTCTTTGAGGGGCAAGGGAAGAGTGATTAATAACAATGATGAATAATAATAATATATTGGGCCCAGCTGGAGTGACTCAGTTGTTTGAACGTTGTCCCATGCACCAAAAGGTTGCTGGTTCAATTCCTGCTCAGGGCACATACCTGGGTTGTAGGTTTAATGCCCAGTCGGGGAGCATACAGAAGGCAACTTAGAGATGTTTCTCTCTCACATTGATATTCCTCCCTCCCTCCCTCCGTCCCTCCCTCCCTCCCTCCCTCCCTCTAAGCATGTCCTTGGGTGAGGATGAAAAAAATAATAAAATAAAAAATGCAATGTCTTTAAAAATAATAATGGTAATAGTAATATATTGGCAGTCTCTCTGGGGTGTTGGGAGGACCAAGGGAGATCATGGAACTGTGCACATGCTTTGAAAAGTATACAAGAGAACACTAATATTGCGTTATCTTTAAAATGATCATTAGTCATGTCATTGCTCTAATACCCTTGGCCCCAGGCTGCAGCTGAACATGGGAACTTGGAGGAAGGATGGTAAGGCCTTTCTTCTCAAGGAGCTGCCAGAGCTGGGCTTGGCCTCAGCCACCCATGTCGTCTGCCTTAGATGTTTGCAGGGGACCCACACACGGAGCACTCCCTCCTCGGGTCCCTTGAAGCTGTAGCTCTCATGAGCCTCGCTTGCAAAAGAGCTGCTTTTCCCTGGGGGCTGGTGAGAAGCAGAAGTCCCCAGCGCAGGTGAGCATTAGTGCTGGGAACGTCCCCAGCCCACTTTCCCAGGGCTTGCCATTTGGCCAAAGGCTTGAGAGAATAGCTGCCCACCTGGAAGGGAGAAGGAGCCAGTGGTGGGAGGGGAGAGGTGGCTGGGGACAGGTGTGGGGGACAGGACGGGGGAAGCAGCTGAGTATCAGGTGCTCAGCAGTTCTGATGAGGAGCATTCACAGGCAAAGGTGCCCTGGAGGGGGCTCATGCTTTAGGATGGAGCTCAGAGGGCTGGACATTCCAAAGAGAGGGCCTCTTGCGTGGAGAAGGGTGTCTGGGTACTGGCAGGGAGAGTTGGGTATGTTATGCAGCTACTGCTCGGCCCTCGCTCTCCCCAGGAATACCATAAAAACTGCAGAGAAGGGCTGCTGGGGGCTTGGCCAGGGGTGGCAAACTGGCCATTTGCATCCTGGATCTGGCTCTCAGATGTGTTTTGTTTGGCCTGCACAATGTTTTAAAAGAAACTTGAACCAACACGTCACTTAGAAAGTTGGATTTTAATCTTTGATTAAAACCGTGGAAGATCTGCCCACAGGTGCCCCGTTCTGGCAACAGCTACACGGAACGCCGAGGCCCCTCACTTCTTTCCTCTTTCCAGTTTGCCACAGACCACCACACCTCCCTATTATTCTTAATTTTTCTTCCACTGTTGGTTTTGCTTTTGTTACCACCAGCTGCCTTCATTTACTTAACTGCTTGGCCCCTATTGTAGACATTTGCACTTGAAACACCTAGATTAGATGCATGATAGATGCCCACTAATGATTTCAAGATGAGAGTTGATGGTAATGACATTCTTGTGAATTAACGTTGTAGATCAATGTGCTGTCGATAGCACTTCTTGGCTTACTTAGAATTCTCCACCTCCCACCACTGGCTCCTTCTCCCTTCATGGTGGGCAGCTATGCTGTCAGATGGGGACCTCAGGCCTTTGGCCAAATGGCAAGCAAGCCCTGGGAGCGTGGGCTGGGGGTGTTCCCAGCACTAATGCTCACCTGCACTGGGGAATTCTGTTTTCTTTTCCGAGGGCCCTTGCCTTTGGTCCTTTGCTATTCACCTTCTCAGGCTCATATCTCAAAAGCACCAGTTTCTGGGGTCGTTCCACAGTAGAATCACCCTTTAAACCAGTACCCGAGGCACATCACTGGGCTGCTGAGGCTTCAGTGCTTATGAAAGCCTTAGTTAGGGGCTGGCCCACCAGAGATTTGCCTGGGAAGTGGAGTTACCACCTCTTCCCTCTACAAAAGGTGCTGGAGAAGCCTTCTTTTTTTGGTGGTGGCAGGGGGGTGGGGGGCTTTATTTGGGTTGAGTATTTTTACATTTCACAGCCTCCCCCAAATTGGTGACATGTGCTCTGTACCTGACAGTGACGTGCTGTCTTCACAGGTGCCCACAAACACGTGCCATCCGGGCCGTGAAGATAACAAGCCATTGCTGGGGCGCATTTGCATGCCTCTCCCTCCTGTCACACTG